AGCTGAGAGAAAAACACCCTGAGTGAGAGTTCCTTGGCTCCAGAGTCACCTCCTGAGCTGAGCTGTGGCTCCTCCAAAGCTCAAAAAAGAGGAAAATTCCATTAAGGAATGCAGAATTTAGGAAAAATCCCTATCAGGATTTAAACCTTGCGTGATTTCTGCCTTCCAGAGTTCCTAAAAGTCTTGTCCTCCCTTCAAAAAAAAAACCCAAAAAACCCCAAAAAACCAAAACAACTCAGAATTGAGTAAAATAAACCCTAAAAAAGCTGCAGGCTGTACCTTCCAGAGCTCCTCCAGTTTGTTGATCTGCTGGGCCGTGATCTGGCGGGCCCGGAGCTGCTCCTGCTCCGAGGGAATCTTCACCAGCCAGGAGAGGAAGCAGCGGTCCTGGATCAGGGGCTGCCACTGGGAGCTGTCCCAGTTGATGTCCTTCAGGCTGCTCTGGCTGGCACAGGGCTGCCTGCACAAACAAAACACACACAGAAATTGTCAGCTTGGACAAGACTGAGCTGCTGCACAGGGTGCTCCTCAAACTGCTCAAAAAACCAGGGAAAATCCAAGCAAAACAAATCCCAGTCTGCTGGGAAAATTTGGGAGTTTTTTTTTTCTGTTCTTATTTCAGGATTGTTGAAACAATTATTTCAGGACTGTTGGTTGGGTGTTTCCAGGATTGAAAATTCATTTAAAATATTAAGTATGATGCCTTTGGAGTTGGTTTATAATCCATAAAGGTTGTGCACACACGGATCAGGGAAAGAGGTTATTTCCCAACCAGAACTTCCTCCACAGAAATACAATTTCTACTGGCAAACACACAGTGACAGCACTGAATTAAAACACATGTAATTATCAATTTTCAGTTGTGACTGAGCCTGTCAGAACAATTTCTGATTTATTGTGGCCTGAAATGATTCTGTGAGCTGACATAAAACCACCTGGAGTGAGAGTCAGGGAGAGTCACCTCCTCAGCTGAGCTGTGGCTCTTCCAAAGCTCAAAAAAAAGAGGGAAAACCCCCTTTCCCCCACTAAGAAATGCAGAATTTAGGAAAAATCCCTTCCTACAGAACTAAGATGTTCACCCCACATAAATTCCCTTTGCTGCATCTGCATCCCTGCGTGACCACCTGCAGGAAAAAGGGTGGCAAACCAGAATATAAAGTGTATTTTGGACCAGAATGAAAGCGAGGGCTGCTTTTTAAAAACTCAGGTGATGCAGGAGAGCTGTCCAAGGCCTTCCCTCACCTGCAGAGCAGAACCACCACCGAGTCAGCCTTGGCTGGGATGAAGCCCAGCAGGAAAACGTTGCGGCAGCCGCAGTTGTAACACTCCAGGACGGTCTCTCCCAGGGGCCCGTCCTTGTGCAGAGTCACCTCCTTGCACTTGGCTCTCACCAGGTGATTCACGATGTGGCTGCAAGCAAACAGCACGGATTGGCACAGCTTTCACACCAAAAGCAGATTTATTAGCAAGTTCTGAAATGTTAATTCATCTGTTTATTGTGGCGGGTGTTGGTGGGATCTGGAGCTTTCCCCTCCAGGAGTTCCTCACTGCTTTGGGTGTGAAAGAAGAAGAAATGGGTACAAAACTGTCGGTTTTGTGTCCATCATTTCCCCATTTACCTGCCAGAGGTGTTCCCACGCCCGTTGCAGAACCATTTCTTGCTGGTGTTGCAGTAAACCACACAGGCAGGGTCGTGGATCCCACAGTAACTGCAATTCCAAAGGGAAAACCAGGAAGTGATTGGTTATTGCTTCCAGGAAAACCCAAATCCAAGCTCTAATTCAATTTACAGGGCACAAAAATAAGGGGAAGTGAAAATTGGGGAACATCAGTGCTGGGAGAAGCATCAAACAGCAGCCAAATTTCTCTTGTGAGTCACAAATACTTTAAAACTTCCCCTCACTGGGGTGGCTGAGCCTGGGATTTATTCCCCAGCTGGCCAAAACTGGATGTGGCAGCTCCAAATCCGTACAAGAACTCCAAGAGCAGCACGGGGAGCTGTCCTTTCCCTCCTGCCCTCTGGAATTCCCACCTGCAGGCGTGCACGGGGAGATCCTTGGTGTAGTAAGTGTCCTCCTCATCCTCCTCGAAGTTGAGCTCAGCCAGGAGCTGGCTGGTCTTGGCCACGTTCTCATCCACAGCTCCATTCTGCAGGATCCCATCAGGACCATTCACCTGCAAATCAACGCCAAATAAACCCCCAAATTCACCCCAAACTCCTCCTCCAGCCCCAAAACTCGAGTGGCACTGAGAAACCTCCACAGCAAAAGAGCTGGAACAGCCCCATTACATAACCAAGGTTTGCTTCATCTGCTCCTGTTTTCCAGGATTATTTCAACTCCAACTGATAAATTGGAATAAAGTTACCAGGAGGAGATTGCTTTCCTGCAGATTGTGTTTTTCCATACAATCCCACAATCAATACTTGCTCCTGTTTCACAGGATTATTTAGACTCCAACTGATAAGCAGGAAAACAAGGAGATTGCTTTTCTGCAGTTACATTTTTCCACAGCCTTACATAACAAAATTCCATTCCAACAACTCCAGCAGCCCTTTTCTCACCCTTCTTTTTTATTCCAGGGATCCACCTGGAAACAGGAATTTTACTGGACAGGATTTTCCCCACCTATTCCTCTATCCACTATGGAATTCTGCAACATTTGGTGCTGTCTCAGCAACTTTCCCACCCCCAGCCTTTCTCCTGATAAAAATAACTCTGTTTTTGGGCACTTTTACCACCAGGAGGTGGGGATGTCACGCTGGGATTTTGGCGTGGCCATTACAGGTGTTGCCCCTTGGCTTTCTCAGGTGTCCTGGTTTGATTTCTCCAGCCCTGAGGGGCTTCAGCACCTCAATGCTGAGTTGGGAAATACCCCAAAACTTGGTTTATTCTCTGCCTCCTTTAGCCAAGACGCCACCAAAAGATGAGCAGGGATAAGTTTATCCTAATCCACGTTAATTTTGAATGGAAAATGTGGGAAAGGGGCCACCAGAGTGACTGGAATATTCACAACACATCTGAGGGGAGTGCTGGGGTCACTTTTCCATCACAAGGAAACACTCCCCAGTGTTTGTAAAGTTAAGATTTATTTATAAATTGTAGCCAGCCAAATAGGACAAAAATCACTCAAGGCCTTTGTCTATGAATACAATATTTTAACAACTCAGATTTAATGCAATTTATCTTGGGAGGTACAACTTAATTCTGACAGAAAGCTGCTCCCAAAGACAACACAAAACCTTTAGCAAAAGAAATCAAAAAACAAATTAAAAGTTGTCCTATTCACGCTGTAATGAAGCAAACTCAGCTTATTTCTCACTTAGAGAGACTCCACATTAAAAATTGAACAGCCAATTGCAAGAGTTAAACTCCAAACCAAACTTCCCACTTGCCCTGAGCCATCAGGCCCTGCCCTCAAAGCCACCAGCTCTGCAAATGAAATGAAATGAGGAGCATTTCAATAAAATAAATAAATGGGCTGGCTTTTTATTGGTGTTATCTCCCAGCTCTGCCTTTTAATGGAAACAATCAGTCCAAAGGAACCCAAAGTGCAAAAGGGAAGAGGGGAAAAGGAATCAAACCCCACTGAGGGAGCAGCAGCACAACCCCATTAGTGGGATGAGGGCAAATCCCTCAGCTCGCCGTGGAACTGCATCTGCACGGGTGCCAGCAGATAAACATCCACTTGAAATATCCATTTCCAATTGATAGAGCCATTTTATAAAAGATAAATAAGAGCTGATGGTGGCACAGGTGGAATGCCAAAGCCTAGGGTTTATCTGAACTCCTTACAAACACTCCCAGACATTTTTATCCCACAATACATTACTTTGAGATCGGTTGATTTCATACCATTTTTTTTGGGTGCTCATAAAAAAAACGGCTTCCTGTTTAAAAAAAAACCCAAAAAAACCAAAAAAGGAACAAAGTTGTGGTTTGGTATTTTTTTAAGGCAGGAAGAGGAAGAAATGTCAAGTGCAGGAGCGGCTGTGCTGTGCCAGCGGTGTCACCTGTCCTGTGAGGAAGGGATTGTTCCCAACCCTGCTGTGATGTCAGCCCTGTGTGTGCTGGATTAAAAACCTGGCACGGGCAGCTCTGGTGCCAGGGGGGGCCTCTGCTCTGCTTGGAAAAATGTTGGCTGTGACTTCTGGCACAGCGAGTTTGGCAGCTCCGGGCTGAGCGCTGAGGTGCCACAAAACTACTCCCAAAAAACTCGCAGGGCTCTCCTCGCTCCTCTCCCAAAATATTCCCTGGGAGACACAATGAGGGACTGAGCTGAAGGACAGAAACCAGTGGGGATGGGGAAGCTCCATCCCTGGAAGTGGCCAAGGACAGCCTGGCTGGGGTTTGGAGCAGCCTGGGATAGCGAGAGGCCCCTGCCCCTGCCAGGGCTGGGCTGGGGTGGGATTTAAGGTCCTTCCAACCCAAAGCAGTCTGGGATTCCCTGATGCCATCAACAGGGGGACAAGATGGTGTTCAGCAGGCTTGCAGGGCCTGAGGGGCTCCAGGAGAGCTGGGCTGGGACTGGGGACACAGGGACAGGACACAGGGAATGGCTCCAGTGCCAGAGGCCAGCGCCAGCTGGGACAGTGGGAAGGAAGGAATTGTTCCCTGGGAGGATTCAAAGCCAGGCTGGAGGAGAGAAGCTCCAGGGAGACCTTGGAGCTGCTTCCAGAGCCTAAAAGGGCTCCAGGAGAGCTGGAGAAGGATTTGGGACAAGAGCTGGAATTCCAGGACACAGGGAATGGCTCCAAACCGGTAAAAGGGGAATCTGGGTGGGATATTGGGAAGGAATTCCTGGCTGTGAGGGTGGAGAGGGACTGGGACAGAATTCCCACAGAAGCTGCTGGAAGTATCCCAGTACACTGACAATCCATCCCTGGATCTACCCAAGAACTTCGGTGCTTGGAGCAACCTGGGCTAACAACCACAAAACCCTTAAGGTGCTTCCCAAGCCATTCCAGCATTCCCTGACCCCACATCCCCAGGGGTCACCCCTCACCTGCCAGCGTCCTTGGAGATGGTGACGGTGACGTCCAGCCCCAGCGCCGAGACCCGCCTGCACACGGCGTCCATGTCGATGATGGAGTCGATGCACTCGGGGCCCCCCTCCACGCAGCACTGCGAGCCCGGGCAGAAGCGACAGTTGTCCAGCCCTTTGTAGCCCACGTTGTGGCCACACTTCTCCAGGGTGACGGTGGTGGCCATGCCCGACACGCCCACGTGAACCACCAGCTGCCAGGGAACAGGGATGGGGTTGGATTGTGGGAAATGCTGGTGGGATCCTTCCAGCTCGGGGTATCTCTGATATCCCTGCCTGCCCTGACGCTCCGTTCCCTTCTCCAAACTCCCAGCCCAGCTCTCCTGGAGTCACTTTAGGGACTGGAAGCCTGGTGACATCTCAACCCTGTCACCGTGCTCGTGAAATCACCGACTCCTGCGGGTTTAGGTTCTGCATGTGGCACTCTGTCCAAGGCTGGACTCAATGATTTTGGATCATTTTTCAGCCTAAATGATTCTGTGATGTGATTTTAAGGTTCTCCCCACTCTGGGAGTGCAAGGTTCCATCACCAGTGAAGCACGGGGGTGTTACAGGTGAGGACCAGAGGAACGAGGCAGTTTTATCATGGGCACAATTCTTCTCATTTCACCCCCTCCTGACCTAAATTGTGATTTAATCAGGGTGAAAAAGGAGCGTTGGCACCTTCACAGCTGCTGGAGGAGCCCAGGTGGCACAGACAAACCACGAGCTGTCTAGACAGCCCTCTGCAGTGGCCCCTTCACACCCACTGCTCCTGGGAGCTGGAGCACTGTAAAATCCTACAAATTCACATCTTCTCACCACAAAAGAGGAAAAGATCCAGCCAGGGACTCCCAGGCTGAGGGAATACATTAAAAAGGAGACTTCACATGGTGCCCTCTGCAGATTCCAACCCTTTGCTGGGTGGTTTTTTTCTCCTGCCTTTACTCACTCACTTGGGGACTGTGCTTCTTCCACAAGGCAGGAATGAGTCTCTGCACGGTCTGGTACTCGACAGGGACCTCTCGCTATCCCAGGCTGCTCCAAACCCCAGCCAGGCTGTCCTTGGCCACTTCCAGGGATCCAGGGATAGCCACAACCTCC